CCTGCTGAAAATCATCCGAATCGTAACTATTTCTTTCATCCAAGTTTACTCTTACCTGGCTTTGCGCACAAACATCATCCAATTACATTCATTTTCGTCAGTTGTAATGATGCAGAATTCTAGGACACCACTGTGGTATATCTGTCAACAAAAGGCAAACATACACATCAGATGAACTGACAAGTGACACACAATGCTACTAAGTTTAGTCTAGCAATAATCTCATTTACTTTGCAGTAGGTACCACCTTTCCTAGTCAGTGTGAAAATACATGGTTGTCTTCTCACATGTTTGTCATTTCACCAGTCCCCCTATTTCCAGCAATACAATAAAGACCACTAGAGACCTACAGTTAGTGCTCAGTGTACAGAATCATGTTGCTCTTGATTATTCACATTTTGGCTTGACTGGAAAAGACATAAAAAACAGTCTACTTGTCTTCACCATCTACCGCATGAATGGACATTAAGGTCAGAGAACCACCTCTTCTCATTATTTCTCCAATGCACGTAGCATTCCTCTATGTTTACTCCTGGATACCACAATTAAAGTCCCCAATGCCAGTGGCACTCTACCTTTCCAACTATCACAAGACCCATTTCCCCCTTACTTCAATTTTTGCGGGCATCATTCTCCACCTATTGACTAAGATTCTATATAAACATGTTATAGGAATAGCTGTTTATATCAAAAACTTAAGTTTCTAGCCCCTTCTGTTAGAAAACTAGAGAAATAATCTTAGCTTCCAATTCTAGAATTGTTTCCCAAGCTAAATATTTGAGGAATGTTTTAGTTGATTACAAAATAAGACTTTCAACATATAAACAAAGTCCATGGCCTCAGCTGCCACAAGTAATAAAAATGAATAATCATTGGGCTATCTAACAAAATGGAGACTAAAACAGTTTATCTCCACGTTCAATACCTGATATTTTGCTATGTATAATAAGTTGGCTACCAAGAACAGAAAGAAGGTACTATTAAATGACTGATAAGTGAAAGGCACTGTATGAATCTTGGCTAATTTTTTAACTACCTCATTACAGTAAAAGCATCCAAAAGTCACAGAAAAGTTGCATAAACACTGACCTTCCAGATATGATTAACCGCCTTGTCTGTCCATTCTGCTACTTCCATGGAGTGACTTTGCTGGCCAATAAGAGGCCCAAAGCAAGTCCGCACAGGAATGGTTTCTCCAGTCCATACACCTATCAGTGGAAGGACATGAACTACACAATCAATGATTTAAACATCTAATCAGATAGAGAAGAGAGTAGTTTAACTCATGCAAAGAATCTTATTTTCAATGAACCTAAGTACTACTAATATTCTAGCACTCCTGAGAGGTAGATAAATCTTATGGGTTCTATCCTGTAAATAAGGAAAAAGTAATAAACAGATTCGATAGGGGCTCAGAAGAAATAAGCAGAGTAAGAAGCAGTATCAGAAATTCCTGAACCCATTTTTATACACAAGGAACCAAACCATGTCTCTCCAAATATGTTATTTTGGAGTTGATACATAAAAGACTAGAGAACATCATTCTATCATAAAAAAGTAAAGCAATTACTACAAAATAAATTAAACTTCTAAGATCACTTGTGCTTAAAGTACTGCTCTTTATTATCTAAGCTGTTTAATGCTTTCAATTGACCCATGCCTAAGTTACACCTGAAAGAATAACGAACCTAGTATTGTATTTTCAAAGAATGGCACAGTGATTCAGATACCATGTGAAATTCCAATATGGATAAGCATACTTTGGCAGTCTACATTTCTTATTACCTTTTCCTAAGGAGCATTAGGCAATTTACAAACATCTGATGTAAATATCTTTAGTGATAAAAAAGTTATCATTGGTGAATTTTCAATGTTTTATAAAAGAAACTAAGTTTCAAGGAGTGCTTTGTCATGATTATTGATAGTGGATGATACAGCTGAAAATAAAAGTCAAGTCTTCAAAGACTCAGGCTAGGATTCTCTCTATTCAATTCTGATTCTAAGAAAGGGGAGCTTTCCCAATAAAGTTTTCAACTTGATGTACTGCTGTCACCCCTGGACAAGACAAATATTCCGTAAAAGGATAAATCTTCAGCTATAAACTGACGTCTGGATCAACCAAATAATCACTAAATTACACACACCCACTTTTACAACTTCACCCTACAAAGGAAGAAGAACCTCTGAGGGGGTTTTATGGTTCCAAGGGTCTTACCAACATCTGCTCCCACAATCGACTGGCGGAGAACAAGCTGCTTTGGGAGAGAAAGCCTTGCTCTGCTCTCTATTGGAGTGTCAGGAACAAAAGTCACTGGTCCGTGATCTGGGCAGTCTGAGGGATAGGCTCGGTCACAGAGAGTGCACCCTGCAGATGGGAAATTTGAGACATAAATGGGGTCAGTTCTAGCAGGCATATGAACGACCACCTGCTTTTTTATTTAAATACTAATTATTAAAATGTAACCAGTATGAAGCAAGGTTCTAGTAGAAACTCTCTGATCAGAGAACCACTTTCTTAACACTAAAATATATATCCACTGTTATATCTCTCTTCAGCAACATTTGATATTTTTCTTTTGATCCAACTGGACAAGTTTTCTATTCAGTGCGTAAGAGAAAGACTGATCAAAAAATAAGCCTACGTTACTTCAAGAATCAAGTATATTATTCCTTACATTGAGTAGATAAGTAATACCTTCAGATAGGATGTTCTAAAGTCCAAAAGATTCCAATTCTACCAAACTATAAGAGGAAACTGAGTTGAAATGCTATAGCGATGCAAAGCCAAAACAGAGATGACAATAGAGCACAACAAAGTCAGAGCCAGCTGCACCACTGCTCTCTTTTGCTTCACTATTAACAAACTGGCTGATCACACTTTGATGACAAGCTCTTAAGACAAAAAAAATATGCAACCTGCTCTTTGGGACAGCAGGTGAATCATATTCTTGCAGACATATTTGCTTAACATCCTTAATTCTTATTGTTCATGCGGTCTTTTTGCACTGCCAGAAAAAATGCTGAATTCATATACTGTTTTCTGTGCTTACTGTAACTTCACTTTTACAAGCTCAGGAGTGTCCTCCTCCTCTATAAATCTTCTGTTCTATTCTTTTACTTTCCTTTCTCACTGTTACCTTAACAGTAGTATTAATGACCCTATTTAGTCAATGACTGTGTTCAAACTTTCCAAATTCATTCACAAAATAGTTGTAAAAACATAAACCTTAGAATCACAGCCTTCTAGGTGCCTTTTCCTCCTAAGCAATCCATTAGAAATTACCACTTAAATGGCATAAAATATCAGTAAGTTTTCATATTTAGCCAAAGCAGTAATAAAATATTACTTCTTCGAGTACTACTTGATTAAAAATTCTTTGAATATCAGACTAGAGATCCCTACACTCTATGAGAAATTATTCTCCAATGCTCTTAACAAGAAACCATGTTAACTCTTCAAACAAAGGAGATTCAGATTTCATATTGCAAAAAACACTTACAGGTTTCCTTCAAAGATATACAAATGGCCAATAAGTACATGTAAGATGTTCAACATCATTAGTCATTAAGGAAATGCAAATTAAAACCACAATGAGATGCCACTTCACACACACTACAATGGGTATTAAAAAAAAAAGTCTTGGCAAACATGTAGAGAAAATGGAACCCTCATACACAGATGCTGGGAATGTAAAATGGTGCAGCCACTTTGGAAAACAGTCTGGCAATTCCTCAAAATGAGGAATTCCACTCCTTATATCCAAGAAAATTAAAAACATACGTTCATACAAAAACTTGTACATGAATGTTCCTACCAGCATTGAATATAATGGCCAAAAAGGAGAAACAACAAAATATTCATAAAAGATAAATGGATAAACAAAATGCGGTATACGCATACAATGGAATATTCTTCTTCCAAAAAGAGGAATAAAGTACTAATACATGCTATAACATGGATAAGCCACCACAACATTATGCTGGGAAGAAGCCAGACACAGCCACGTAATGTAGGATTCCATTTATATGACATGTCTAATAGGCGAATCCAGAGAAAGTAGGTTAGTGGTTGCCTGAGAATGGGGGGCAGGGGTGAGAGTGACTGCTAATGGGGTTTCTTTATGGGGCGATAAAAATTTTGGAATTACACAGTGGTGATGGTTGCACAACCTTGTCAATATACTAAAAACCACTAAACTGTACACTTTAAAATGCATATGTGAATTATATTACACATGATCTAATAAATGTCTTATGTTGAAAAAGCAAATGGCATGTCACACAGAATACCTTACTGAAACTTACTTCTATAATTAACTATCTGTGAAATCTTGGGAAATACCTTAAGTATTATTAGGCTAAGCTTACCTGTAAAATACAGAAATGACTGTTTCCTTACTTCAGGAAGATGCTATAAGAACCAACAAAATGTCTATACACTGTCTGGCTTACCTGAGGAAAAGGCACCACGTTAATACAAAGGACAATACAAAGGCAAATAAAAGTTCCAAAGTCTCGTTACTTTCTATACTCCCTTAACACCTGACTTTGTGACTAAACCTGTTAAGGATGATGGCCCTTTCTATCAATATCTCCAAAAGAAAAAGGCTAAGCACACTCACAAATTGTAAACAAAGTTGCCATATTTTCCTTGTTTGAATTGGAGTCTTCCATTTGCAGTGAAGGTGGTACAAAAGAAAGACTGTCTGAAGACACATCTACATGACTTGTCCCCATAGCAACCTCCTGGGTGATGGAGGAGACAGCCACAGGTTCTAGACTTAGGCCAACTTCATGGAGGGAAACAGATTCTAGGGAGGCGAGGTTGTGTGAGGTAGAGAGTGCCACGCTTACAGAGTTGGTGCTCATGGCCACGGTGTGGATGGAGTCACTGAGGGCACTGTCAGACATCCCGTTGACCCGACTTGCAATGTGGTCTGTCTCCATGACCACAGGGAGCTCCAGGCCATTCCCATGAATGGGTATCACACCACCATGTCCTACAGTTTCTGCTGCAAGGCTGTTGCTCACAGAATCCACAGACAGAGGTTCATGACTTCTGGAGCCATTTGGGATCTGGGTATGCTCGCCTGCAACACCATCCATGGTAAGCTCTTCTGCCATTCCATCTGTAGAGATTGGGCTGGTGACCCTAGAGACGTTCTCCATAGTGATTGTTGTGTCCAAGGCCACCTCATGGCCATCAGTGGGATGAAGACTTTGGGGACCATGTGTGTTCACAGAGCGAGAGTCTATTGAAACAATGCCTGGTTCTAATCCAACATTTCCATTGGACTGATAGGGATCTAGCGCTGAAGGGTTATTGCTGATAGATAATGCTGTATTACCATCAACATTTATAGAGTTAGGGTGGATATACTGAGGAGGTGGTCTGTCAGCTAAATAAGATAAAATGCCTGAGAAAAGGAAAAGATGAGATATCAGGAATTTTTCAGTATATTGTTAAATATAAAGAATTCCAAATTCCTTACAAATGTAACTAAATTAAAATAATCTCCTACCTGTTTCTTTGGTTTGATATCTATATACTTTATAAATAGCAACATACATACACCACAATTCAGTTTTTCCTGTGAAACTCAGAAGTCATAAAAAATTAACTATGTTCCTTTGAAGTCACTAGAAATTAATCACTTATAAATGCTGCCTTTAATATATACATGGCTGGAGTTCCTGAGTCTTAAGATGCTGAAATCTGCTCTATAAGAGTTAAAAGGTAAAATCATTTAAAAGATTTTCCATGTGAAAAATTAAATATAATTTTTAACTCATTAAACTATCATAAAACATTAGGCTCTATTCAAAACAAGTCACAATTATACCTGCTTTATTAAAACAGAAAAAAATATTTGAACACTCGTGCTTGTGAAGATGTGGTGAAATGGTACTTGCTGCATTGCCAGTAGGAGCCTAAATTTCTAAATCCTCTTTGGAAAGTATCTATAATAATAACCTCAAAAATGTTCATACCCTCTTGCACAAGAAATTCCACTTATGGTAATCTCCCCTAAATGCATTTTGTAAATATTATACACAAAGACATTCATATATGGTAATTTAAAAAACTGGAAAAAACTGTCCAACAATTATTTAATTATTATAAAGATATAATAAACCACGGAATATCCACTCAGTAGAATATAATGCGTCATTAAAATGGATAATTATGAAAACCACATAGCAGTTGGGAAAAATAACTATGTAAAAATAGAGAAAAATGTTAAGTAAAAAAAAGGGTACACAATTGTATAGAAAGTACTATATAGTGTTAATTATGAAAAACAGTAAAATCCTATACATAAAAGACAGGAAGGAAGTACACCAAAAAGATGGATGATGGGACTATGAATGATTCCCCTTCCTCCTTATTTGCTAAATTTTTTGAAATGAGTATATAATACTTCTAGAATAAAAATTCAATAAACTTTACTTTATAATAAACAATGACACCGTAAGCAGGACATGTGGTTGATAGGAATTACAACTGCAAAATTATAAAAACTGAACCAAGGAGATGCTAGAGGAGACGAGAAAATTGTTTATGTGCCATTAAGAAATTAAGCTTAGTCAAACTGCTATGTTAATATGTTATCTATATGTTCTAAGAGGAAAAGTACATAAATATGAACAATTTTTTTCCCACACAGATTAATATCTAATAGTGACAAACAGAAAAAAGTGTTATTCAAGTCTTCAAGAACTGAAGTTAAGAGTTGGCTGAATTCTTTCTTCTAAATTCCTGAATAACTATAACACTTACCAGGTAGAATGGTTCTGAAGTAACTGCTCTCAAGGTGGGGGTAAGGTGGTGGAGGTAGGGTGTAGTTTCTTTCAGGTAACCCACACATCACCCCTCGATCCCCAATACCCATTGGGAGCATGAGAGACAAAGCAGAAGGCAGAGAGCTCAGGGAGGGACCCAAGTTTGGAATCGCCACTGGCAGCCCTACAAAAAAAAATTTTTTTTTCTCCATTAAAAGTAAGTACCTTAGGGGCTTCCCTGGTGGCGCAGTGGTTGAGAGTCGGCCTGCCAATGCAGGGGACACGGGTTCGAGCCCCGGTCTGGGAGGATCCCACATGCCGCGGAGCAACTAGCCCTGTGAGCCACAATTACTGAGCCTGCGCGTCTGGAGCCTGTGCTCCGCAGCAAGAGAAGCCGCGATAGTGAGGCCCGCGCACCACGATGAGGGGTGGCCCCCACTTGCCGCAACTAGAGAAAGCCCTCACACAGAAACAAAGAGCCAACACAGCCATAAATAAATAAATAAATTTTTTTTTTTAAAAAAAGAAGTATCTTAGGGCTTCCCTAGTGGCGCAGTGGTTAAGAACCCGCCTGCCAGTGCAGGGGATATGGGTTCGATCCCTGGTCAGGGAAGATCCCACATGCTGCGGGAGCAACTAAACCCGTGCGCCACAACTACTGAGCCAGCGCTCTAGAGCCCGCAAGGCACAACTACTGAAGCCTGCGTGCCTAGAGTCCGTGCTCCACAACAAGAGAAGCCACTGCAATGATAAGCCCGCGCACCGCAATGGAGAGTAGCCCCCGCTCTCTGCAACTAGAGAAAGCCCGCTCATAGCAACGAAGACCCAACACAGCCATAATTTAATTAATTAATTAATTAATTTTTTTTTTTTGTAGTACACGGGCCTCTCACCGTTGTGGCTTCTCCCGTTGTGGAGCACAGGCTCCGGACGCGCAGGCTCAGCGGCCATGGCTCACGGGCCTAGCTGCTCCGCGGCATGTGGGATCTTCCCAGACCGGGTCACGAACCCGTGTCCCCTGCATCGGCAGGCGGACTCTCAACCACTGCGCCACCAGGGAAGCCCTAATTAATTTTTTTTTAAAAAGTAAGTACTTTAAAATTCTGTAATCACTTGCTCAACTATTAGGAAGGTTTTTGAAATGGGCAAAAATCACATCTAGCAGCCCTTTACATCCCCAGATAGGTAGTGCTGTGCAGACATCCACAAACAAGTCCTAAATTTAGTCAAGTTAGTTTTAAAATGCCAACTTGATCATCCAGTTGTCTATTGCTCTTAAGTATCAAAGCATTTAATTACAATTAAAAACCTACTTTAAATACAATTTAAGAAAACACATTATTTAGAGATAAAAAGAATGGGAAGAAACATACCAAAGTTCAAAGAAATATATCAAAGTTCAGAGTGGTCTCTGAGTAATGACAGAACAGTTGTTTGTTTGTTTTTTTAAGAATTTTATTTATTTATTTATTTGGGTCTTTGTTGCTGTGCGCAGGCTTTCTCTAGTTGTGGCGAGCAGGGGCCACACCTCGTTGCGGTGCATGGGCTTCTCATTGCGGTGGCTTCTCGTTGCGGAGCACGGGCTTTAGTAGTTGTAGAGTGCAGCTTGGTAGTTGTGGCGTGTGGGCTCAGTAGTTGTGGCACAGCACAGGCTTAGCTGCTCCACGGCATGTGGGATCTTCCCAGACCAGGGCTGGAACCCGTATCCCCTGCACTGGCAGGCGGATTCTTAACCACTGTGCCACCAGGGAAGTCCCCAGAGTTTTTTAATTTATTTTTGCACTTTATTATATTTTCCATTTTATATGGTGAGAACGTTTCACTTAAAAAAAGATATGCTCCTGGGCTTCCCTGGTGACGCAGTGGTTAAGAATCTGCCTGCCAATTCAGGGGACATGGGTTAGAACCCTAGTCCGGGAAGATCCCACATGCTGCAGAGCAACAAAGCTCATGAGCCACAACTACTGAGCCTGCGCTCTAGAGCCCAAGCCACAACTACTGAGCCCGTGTGCCACAAGTACTGAAGCCCGTGTGCCTAGAGCCTGTGCTCTGCAACAAGAGAAGCCACCGCAATGAGAAGCCCATGTACCACAACGAAGAGTAGCCCCCACTCACCGCAACTAAAGAAGGCCTGAGCGCAGCAGCAACAAAGACCCAATGCAGCCAAGAAAATAAACTAATTAATTAATTAATTTTTTAAAAAATGCTTCTACTTGGAAATTAATGTAAAGCTAAATGTAAAACTGTACATACATATTTTCATATAATCTTTTGTATATATGCTGTACTTCATGATTTTTAAAAATCTGCACTTTATATTTACCTTGGACTATATCTATCTGCAAGTGCTAAAGTGACCCTGTGCCTACGTATCATAATGAACAATCACCAACTTGGGCAGTGCTGATTCGCATTATTTTTGCCAGTGGCAGTATTTTTTAATAGGCTTTTCCTCCCCAATAAGAGTGTTCACTAAATGGAATGCCTAAGAGATAATCAAATGAGTTAAGAAGTAATAAATTTTTTAAAAATTTCTTTTGTGGACACTAAAAGAAATGTGAAGACACCCTAGTTTAGACAAACCTTATTTAATGGCTGCATATTAGTAGTTAAGCAGGTAATTCTCTATAAAGAACTAAACAACTTAATAGATTTAAAATACTCTTAAACATTAACTCTTACTTTGATAAAATCCAATACATTACAATGTCAAAGACCGAAGAATCACTATCTTGCCACTGTAAGACTCAATGGCTTACTTATTTCGTTTCCGTTTCAGTAGAAAGAAAAAACTGAACTAGCCAGATAAAAAGGTTTTAAAAGTACAGCGATAGGGAAAAATGAGCTTTTCCTATACTATTATTCTGTCCCAGTACTGAGGCTCAGGGGGAGTTCTATGTAGGCGCTCCATCTCTGAAACCTCCTCTTTGACCATAATTCTAGGCCTGGTGTGTTTGCAGTTGTTGCCAGTTTGATATCATAGAAAATAAAGCTGAATTTCCCATGTGTTCTAGGAATAGTTATTACAGTAACTTTGATTCTCTCCTAATAACCCAGGGACAGAATGCCAAGGGAGAAAACAGATGAATGGGTAACCCTAGATAAAATGCCAAATCAACTACAGCTCTAGACAAAAGGCCACTAACCCAAGAAGAGAACAATCAGGAAAAAACCGCTACTCCTTTTCTATCCACTAGGACTTCAGTACTCTAGAAAAATTGCTGCCACATGTGGAACCACCATTTAGACCTGTTGGGCTTCTCCCTTCCACTCTTAAAGGGGCTTTCACCCCCCTGTAGGCTCCATTTATAACTGATAATGCAATTAAGTGCTGAAATTCAGTCACTCTCCCTTACCACTCACCTGGGGCCGGGATGGCATTGTGAGTGGGTGAGGCAGCCAACCCCAGGTGACTCCCTGAGACTGGCAAGGCATTGCTCACAGAGGATGAAGTCAGCTGCTCCATCCCCACTGGGCTCAGGTTCATTTCATTCATCCTAAGAAAGAGCAGACACAACCAGTTATGCACAAAATTACCTCAGTGACTCTGTTTAAGGTACTGAAGAACCTGAAACAATGGAGGTGGGGAAATGGGACTTAACCAACTATGACTTCATTTCTATGCTCACAGCTCCCTGATAACTAGTGTCACTGGGATTCAGAGATGTTAACTCAGCCGTCATAGAGCAGAAACAGGATTTAACTCAGGTGTGCCTTGCTCCAAACCCTAAGCACACCATCTAAAGCAAAGTTTGCAATCCTTAGAGCACACTGGCAATGAGGGTTTGTTTTTTAAATTCACCTAAGTTTTTTCCTTCACAGAATTTAGTTTCTCCAACCGGCTTATTACTTTAAACCAGGAGTTTTATAGACAGTCTGTTTTAACTTACTCAAAGAATTTTTACTAATTCCTTTTACCAGGAGTTAAAGTGATACTGGGTCTGAATTAGATTACCAATCGTGTAAAGAAGCACCATATCTTCTCCATGGATCAGCATTTTATTGAAATTCTGTACAGATACCTTAATAATTAATAATTTTAGTAATATCCTCCACATATCAAGGTTCATCAGGCAAGCTTTGCTACTTTATAAAAAATTACTTCATATTTGCTCACCAATTCTTCAAAATAAGGTAACCAAGGAAACAGTGGCTCAAAGAGGGCTTGTCATATGCCCCAAATCACACAGCAATGAAATCAAAGAACACAGATCATGCTGCAAAATACTGTCAAAAAGTTTTTCAATACACCAAACTTTTTTTTATCTAGAGACCATTTTTGGCTGAAAAATCTGAGAACTGCTTTATCCATAAAATCCATCTTGTAGTGCCATTAACAAAGTTATTAAAATAAGGGTATACTGATTTGAATAAGACACTACTAGAGACTGTTATCAGTTAAGTATTAGTTCCTATGTCAGAATTTAGAGACTGCCATATTATAAACAACTTCAAGAGGCCAGCCAACAGGCTATCCAAAGGAGGTCACCAGTGACCTCCAATGCTTATACTGAGTTATCACAGTAATGCAAGTTCGTGTGCATGCACCTATGTACATGGGAGGGGTGAAAAACAGGAAGGGGAATCAAATCGCTCTACACACTCCTTAGCAGTGAAGGCAAAACTTAATAGGTTTTTAATCTGAAAAATGGCAATATCAGCTACCAATCAACATGAAAATAATAATAATACTTATTACTCCCTTACTTTAGCTGTTAGGCACTGGGCTAAGTGATAACATGTAATTACCTCACCTAATCCTTATAACTACTGTGAGGTAGGTATTATTCTTAATCCCATTTTAGAGATGAGAAAATTGAGACTCAGGCTAAGTAACTTAACCCAAAATTACATTAACTAGTAAGTGGCAGAGTTGGGATTTAAATCCAGGTCTGCCTAATTTAAGAAACTAGTAAGTCGCAGAATTGGCACTTAAGTCCAGGTCTGCCTAATTTAAGGAATCTAAACTCTTAACTATGACTAGAAAAAGACAATTACAATAAAAGAAACTTTTTGCCTTTTACAGTTCCAACACTTATGATCTGTGTATTTATATTGTGGAGTATGTTTAAAGTCCCACATAGACCTATTCCTGAATTATTCTCTATCCATAAGCTTCAACCTTACCCCGGGCTAGGTATCTCATACAACTAGGCTCCCAGACGTTAATAAAGTGTACAAAGCTGAAGGCGATACCCTACATAGGGTAGGCATTTTGAAATATGTCTTTGATTTGGATGAAGCAATGCAAACTCATCTTTACGAGAAAGACGACTAGCATCACATGGCAAATGAGGAACACCTCATGAAAGACAGCACATTAATAACAGTATTTAATTATGCTATAGAAGAATGCAAAAATCCTTATAGCCTAAAGAAGCGATAGCTAACAATTTTGAAGGTTTCTGGGTTTGGGGTGGTTTAAAACAGACTTTTCCTGTGACTTTTTTTTTGTTTGTTTGTTTGTTTTTTTGCTATATGCGGGCCTCTCACTGCTGCGGCCTCTCCCGCTGCGGAGCACAGACTCCGGACGCGCAGGCTCAGCGGCCATGGCCCACGGGCGCAGCCGCTCCGCGGCACGTGGGATCCTCCCAGACCGGGGCACGAACCCGTGTCCCCTGCATCGGCAGGCGGACTCCCAACCACTGCGCCACCAGGGAAGCCCTTCCTGTGACTTTTTATAGCTACAAACATTAACTAAAACTTTAGAACCACTGCAGCAGTAATGACCTACAAAAAACTGGTTACGATAATTTTTTTTAAGTACAATTAAAAGTCTGTAGCTTCAAATTCCATGCTGAAAATTTCTGAGTATTAATCTGTGCACCTAATCTCAAGATAAAAATCAAAACGGTGCTTCTAGGTTGACTCTTAGGCCTTCTCAAACCAGTTCAAACCAGAGTTTAATGTGAGAGGCTCAGCAGATTTCTGCTTTGTTGTGAGTCACTAAAATGTGATGATCTCAGCAGCCATAAACCAAAGGTAACTAGTATCCCACAGAGAGAAAGCAGATGAAGGGAATTTACAGTATGAGCCTCAAAAGACTCCCTCATTCCAAAGTGCAATTCTATTCTAGCTCTTCTCATATTGGATGCTAGGAAGCAATCTTGGGAGAAGGACCAGAATCAAGATACTAAGCTCGCTCTTCTTTCCTATGCATTCATTGTAGAATCATATCCTTCATCTTCTCTAGTTTATGTGACCATTTGCTAATCTTACGACTTTTTCTTAGAATGACATATAAGAAGCTAACTGAAACGCCACTTTGCAAATGCAATGGACAGTTTCAGCAATTTGGATGAAGTTTTTTTTATCTTCCTTATCCTCAACATACAGCCTATGAAAGGGCTCATAAAGAATGGCCCAATGTAACTATTTCTCTGGCACACTTCTGTACTGTAGTGGCATGGTACCACAAAGTACTTTCAACATTAACACGAAGTCTGCAGAATTAATAACTTAATTTCTCTACATTACCAGCCAAGCCAGACGGTAACCAGCAAAATTCAAGGTGAAACATGGTGATGAGCTAAAAACACACTTCGAAATCCAGATAAAAATATTATTAAACGCGCAAAAAACTCAAAGGCAAGGATAAAGATGTCCAACGAGCCAACAATCGACGTAATGGCTATTCGGAACAACTACTCACATTTGGAGTAAATCAAGTTTAATGAGAGTATATTCAACCCAATACTGGTTTCTGGATGTTTTGTTCCCTTTGGGACAAACCCACTTGCCAATCGCACCTGTAACCTGCCCAATGGCACCAAAAACAAAAGCACTCTTAAGTCTCATTTGCCAAATGTTTTCCAAAGATGTCACCAACGCTGAGACCACCAAGCTACTCACCTGTGATGCATCTGCTGGGGGCCAAGTGTCAGAGAAAAGCGCACACGGGTGGTGGAGAACCGGCATCAGGGTTTGCTTTCCAGGGTCACGTGCTACCGCATCTTGCTTACAACCGCTGCACAAACGCGGCCATTCGTCCCCGGGGCCGCCCGGGGCAGCCCAACTTCTCCCGAGGGCCGGCGGCCGCGCACCCCGCCGCGAGATAAGGCATGCCGGGGGACACCCGGGGCCTTTCCTCCAGAAGCTTCGGGAGGGGGGCTACCTAACCTGAGGGGGAGGACAAGGGCGGTCACCAAAACACGGGAAGGATGCACCCCCCGTCCCCTCGCCGCCAGAGAGCCCGGGCCTGGTGACACTGCCTCCCAAGGGCGGCCAAGTCGCCCGCTCGCCGGCATGGGGCCCGCAGGCCGCCCTCGCCCCGCCCCGGCCGGGCCCGCGCGCAGCCCACCTGCCGGCCGCGCGGGGG